CTACACACAGACTACACACACACTACACACAGACTACACACACTACACACAGACTACACACACACTACACACAGACTACACACACTACACACAGACTACACACTGACCACACACACTACACACAGACTACACACACCACACACAGACTACACACACACTACACACAGACTACACACACTACACACAGACTACACACACACTACACACAGACTACACACACAATACACAGACTACACACACACTACACACAGACTACACACACTACACACTAAACACAGACTACACACACTGCACACACTATACACAGACTACACACACACTACACACACTACACAAACTACACACAGACACACACTACACACACTACACAGACACGCACTACACACACTACACACTACACTCAGACTTACACACTACACACAGACTACACACACTACACACTACACACAGACTACAGACACTACACACACTACACACTACACACAGACTACACACACTACACACTATACACAAACACTCACTACACACTACACACACTACACAAAGACACACTACACAATAAACACAGACACGCACTACACACAGACACACTACACACAGACACACACTACACACTACACACAGACACACACTACACACACAGTAACACACTACACACAGACACACAATACACAGACACAACACAAAGACACACACTACACACACTACACAGACACACAGTACACAAAGACACACTACACACACTACACAGACACACTACACACAGAAAAAGACAGACACACACACTGTTGTCATGGTAAACTTCTGTATGGTTCATGTCTGAGGAACTTTATTTATCTCAGTTAATTCTGAATCTCCCAGTTCTTTACCCTGTCTGTCTCACCTGTCTGTCTCACCTGTCTGTCTCACCTGTTTGTCTCACCTGTCTGTCTCTCCTGTCTGTCTCACCTGTCTGTCTCACCTGTCTGTCTCACCTGTACAGGTAGCAGGCAGGAAAGGGTTCCCTCATGTGATCTACGCTCGTCTGTGGCGCTGGCCTGACCTCCATAAGAATGAGCTGAAACACGTCAAGTTCTGTCAGTTCGCCTTCGACCTGAAGTACGACAGCGTGTGTGTCAATCCATACCACTACGAGAGGGTGACAGGCCCCGCCTCCACAGGTAACACTAGACCCCGCCTCCACAGGTAACACTGGACCCCTCCTCCACAGGTAACACTAGACCCCGCCTCCACAGGTAACACTAGACCCCGCCTCCACAGGTAACACTGGACCCCTCCTCCACAGGTAACACTAGACCCCGCCTCCACAGGTAACACTAGACCCCGCCTCCACAGGTAACACTAGACCCCATCACCTCAGGTAACACTAGACCCCGCCTCCACAGGTAACACT